AGTTCTACGTTGTTACTGACTGACTGACTGATTACGTAATCCAGTTTATCAGTTGTTAGTACCATGAGTCCTTTATTACCTAAAATTATCACATAATTTATCTTATCTATCTCTGAACTCCAGTCAATTATTACAGCACCCATCCTTAATTGTTTCCTTGATTCTAGCTTTAAATAACCTCTGACCTGTTCTTGCATATATATATATAGTTATCATTGATAACCTTTGTCATTCCAATTCTTTACATACACTTATGTCAATTGTTCCATACTATATCTTATCTCTATGCAAAATTCTAATACAAATTTGGTTGTAAGCAGCTGATGATGAGGAACCACGACAACAATAGTGAATTCATATTATTCTACCTCTATATTTGTTCTGGCTTTATTTCAATTCATAAAGGGAACTAATTGCATGCAATATAAAATGAATTTTAATCAATATTAAGTTGGTTAGAAACTGGCATTCATGAGAATAGGTATCTTTTTGTTGTTGTTTCATTTCATTTCATTAGAGATTATGTTATTCCAATCTAATATTATCATTATTATTCACAATATTGAAAATTAAAATTTTTTGTTTATTCATATCCATTGCATTAATCTATTCTTCTCATCTTAAGATCATATTTATCATTAAAGGTTTTAATCTTCTAAGTTTCTTCAGTCTTGATTGCTGTTGGATGTATAAGGGCGGTTTTCACTTCCCGGTTGCCGACACCATAGAAGGGTTCTTCTGGAGGTACCTGAAAAGGAAATTGAATTAGAGATGGTCTTAGTGACCTGAGATCGTGACCGCAGTGCCCAAGGGACAACTGCTTGAGGCCAGTCACACATGACTTTTTTGTGAGTAATTTTCGTGTTAGCTCCGTAATTGTTGAGACCTTACCGCTGTAAATGGACATCCGTGGAATAAGGCGAGGTGTGTATTTTTAGGGTCGACCTTTTCTAACTCCATCCCTCCTTATACGAAGGCAGCATCGCTGTCATGCTGGTTGTCTGAAGGAGACATCTTACTGCCGTCACACCTCTGTGCAGTCAGCAGTAGGACCTCACCATCGGACCTTCGGTTTGTTGCTCAATTTATAGAATGTTTTGAATTTAGAGTTTGATGGTTGTTTGTAATCCTCTCGTCTAAAAATCTTGAAAAATCTATCCCATACTTTTGTATTCAGCGCGGTTTGAACGCGTATCATTTAATACAATGGTATAGTTATGTTATTCTGGCTACCAAATGATTTTCTTTTAGTGATAAATGATTGGTTGTAATTCCGACTGATAATGGACTTTCCACAATTAATTGATCGTAATAAATAACGATCAAACGTCATGTCTATTTAGTCCTTATTAATGGTCGATAGGATTTGATCAGCATTAAAGTATCAGCTATTATTCGGTTGTATATTTTTCAGTTCTACAGTAGGTCAATTGCAACCTAGCAGATCAGTAGTAACTTCTCTAACTGTAAAGCTAGGTGATGCAGATTTAATTCCAGTGAAGAAGATCAATTACTTAAATACTATGGGTATACCTTGCTGAAAATTGCTAGCTAACACGAAATCTAGATCGGGTAGTGTTTCCTGCAGACTGCCTACAAACATCTAACATCTCAATATAGTTCACATTTTTTCCAGTCAGTCAAATTAGTTTACACATTGCAACTTGACCCATAGAATTTAATCAGCACTAAAGGACTAGATAAACCGAACATTTGGTCATTAGTGATCAACCAATTGTATTTTGTGAATATTTTCCCGACCGTTGTTGCTACCTTGACGTGGTGGTCGGGCTTGCCTATCGTGATGAAGCAACCGAGCTATGCTGACTGGAACAATCGTCCCTCAATGTCCTACCATGTCAGAAAGGTCGGTTGAAGAGCGGTAAGACTAAAAGCAACAAACCTTAAGTCCGAGGGTGAAGTCGTACTGCTGACTGTACAGAGGTGTGACAGCAGTAAGGTGTTTCCTTCAGACAACCAGCATCTGCAGCGATACTGCCATCCCACAAGGAGGGGAGGGGTTAGAAAAGATCGACCCTAAAAATGCACACCTTACCTTATCCCACGGATATCTATTTACAGCGGTAAGGTCTCAACAATTACGGAGCTAACACGAAAATTACTCACAAAAAAGTCATGTGTGACTGGCCTCAAGCAGTTGTCCCTTGGGCACTGCGGTCACGATCTCAGGTCACTAAGACCATCTCTAATTCAATTTCCTTTTCAGGTACCTCCAGAAGAACCCTTCTATGGTGTCGGCAACCGGGAAGTGATAACCGCCCTCATACCTCTAACAGCACTTAAGACCACTGTATTCATAATCAACCTCCCTCTTCAATTCCTACTATTCCTCCTACATCGACTTTCAACTCTAAACTTCCTTTTTCGGCTTCTTCCTGAAGTGTCACCATAGTCAACGATTCTAGTGCGCGAAACACTGTCTCAGGTCTACTGAAACCTCGCTCCAAACTACACATCGGAGCCTTCAACGTACGCACACTATGTCAAATCGGTCAACAAACTGAATATTTAGGTAACTTAAGTTGCTTTGAATTGAAAAAATTCTAGTTTTTTTTGTTGCTTCATTCTTGTTCGTGTACACTTTGATAGTAAAAAGATCAGTCTGATTGTGTTGGGAAGTGTTAAATCGTTATTTTGTCACTTTTATTGTGTACATTTTCATTCCTGCTTTCTTGTTTTTGCATTAAAACATTCTACTAGAACCATTATTTTTACTGGGTTAAAAAAAATATTTCCTCTTATTTGCCAATTACTCTTTCAATACGCTAATTGCTATGCTATTTATACACCTATCTGAATCAATATTATTTGGTTGTGATCAATATATCTTCCTTGCAAAACTTACTTTTGAAATAGTTAGTTTCATAGAAAGCGAATACACACGTCAGATGCATCACGACTTCTATCGACTCATTGTTTATATGTGGACAGTTCAAGAATGTTAATTAAGAGTAATTAGTGACAATAAGCTTATTGAACTCTGTCTGATCCATTATATTCACTGATAAAATAAAAACGAATTGAACTATACATTCTGTCTAATGACATTCCTTTATGTTGTGTTGTTTGGTGACAGGTAGAAATAAATCAATAACCTCTAGGTTTTGTGTTAGTTGGTATTTATCAGAAAGAATTATTTCCAATCTCGATGTGGAGATCACGCTCACTATGGGAAGCAATATCATAGTTGGAAATGTTACCATTTTTTTTTTACAGTGTGGGTCTCTTATCAATTCTTTTAAAGATTGTGAATAAGTTAATTTGCCTGCAGTTTCTCGATTACCTTGGGGAAAAAATTAACTCAATTAATTCCATTTTAATGTTGAACCACATAGAATGGTGACCACAGTGTAACTTAGTCAATAGAGCTTGATCAACACTAAGAGTTGCATAGCATTACGTTAGTTATCATTAAATTTTTATTCAGTTTTCAAAATTATTTATTAATGCTACAAATAACCAATTCAGGTTAATTTAATAGGAGTTTTGTTTAGTTCTCATTTGTATAAAATGTTTTATAATTCATATCACAAACTGACCATAATTATATCATCATTGAAATCAGGATGCACTAGACAGTTGTGAGACCCTTCAGCAGTGCATATCCACGAATCCACTATGGATCGATCACAGGATCTTAAATTACTTTTTGAAATTAGTCACTTCCGATTTTGTGGTGAGAAACTGTGACCGATGCAGTTCAGCTAACTTGGATATGAGGCAGTTACCCATTAACATCGAGATATGTTTGTTTTATATCTCCAATAGATTTGAATTTAACCAATGTGAACCATTGGTTAGCTACTCAGTGACATGAAAGTTAAGCACCAGTCACACGACTTGAAGATCCTGAGTTTGACCTCTAGTAAAGTCATGAATGAATATGGATTAATATTCTCATACTAGTATGAAACAAGTGTATGATGCTCCATAATTTTTAATGGTTATCTAACTAGTATCAATCTTTGATGTAAACTATGGAATTGTAATTATCACAAACTTCCTATGGTAATAAAAATGTATTGGTTAGATTACAATTGAATATTTCAAGGATAGTTAATATCCATTTTGTACTATCTCTTACTTAGTGATATCTTTCTTGTTTTTTTTCTGGTTAGCGTTTTTTTAGCGAGTTAGTTTTCTACGGGATGGGGACGCTAACCCCATGCCCAACCCTCCTCCTTTATCCGGGCTTGGGACTGGCAGTAGCCCCCGGAGGGACTCCAGGCGAAGTTATCCTTCTTGTTACACCCAACAATATGTAATGCCAACTGTATTCGTTTCGAATATAATGAGTTTATTTATATGTCGAATACTATCATCATTTAAATAAGCTTAGATTACTGGTGGATACCTTGGAAATGATAATATTTTGTTTTCTAAATTGAATAGTTTAATTATCATTTTAGATAAAATCATCACCATCTATTTTGAATATAAGTAGTTTGAGATTACTTACATTAGAAGGTGTGCATTCTTGCTTTTTAAAAAAAATCTTACAGTCTCATTTTATCTGATAACAACCAACAAAGGAAAAGGGTTGAATAATAGTCCAAGAGTCTTATATGGGATAATCTATTATTCACAATTGCTTGATCACTGGGTGGCGATCAGTGTCATGCCTGTCTTGTCCTTATTGGTGAAGATCGAATGCTATCGATCATGTTGTAATGTGGTCACCAGTCTAGGTGACTCAACACTGCGGGCACTATATATTGAGATTAGATGGTGGTTGGAGGTGGTTGACAGGAAACCCTGTAATATTAAACCACATAGAATGGTGACCACTGGGTTTCCTGTCGACTACCTCCAACCACCAATTAAATTTATTACTCTCATACTGTCTGGCTTCTTAATTAATGAATTACTATTACTGTTACCCCTACATATTTTTTGTTATATTAAATTATTATTTAAACATAACATAGGTCATTGAAACTGTGAATTCTTTATTGTGTTTTTCTTGACTTGACTTCTAGCACGGTGAAACAGATCTCAATATTCATGGTCGAATCGGTGGAGATGGGAAGCTTTCTGAAAGGGGTGAACTAGTAAGTTTCTTACATACCATATTGTATCCATGCATAATTTTAATTTCAGTCTATTAAGAATATTGTTTTTGGCAATATATCACAAGTTTGAAGTGATTTGTATATTTTTTACTTTGAAAAATTTTTAAAATATCAACATTGTATTGTTCACTATCAATCAGATAACGGACAATTAAACTGTTAAAAAACATGTCGACCTTTTAGTCATCATTACTGGGCTATGCTCTCCTTGATATGTACAGGAAGTTTCTTCTCTATTTCGCCAGTATTGTAGGTGCTTCGTCACATATATGTAGACTGGTAGACACAATTTTAGGTGAGCCCACGAATGCCCTGGTATGGCCGAGAGTGGGGTGGGCCTACCCTCCCTCTCGAAATGCTCTCACACGGCCACGCGTATACAGCCTCTGCCAGGGAAGTCCTACTCACTGCCAGATACATATACGCCACACAAATCTCATTTGGTTTGTGTGAGGGCTGTGATACTACCGGGTGCCCAAACCGAAGCAAGTGGTTTTCTTAGGGGACCACATCCGGAGCCTTCGACCTGAAGGTCTAATCTACAATCCCGTAGAGCATCGTAAAGAGATGCAGTCTCATGCTAACCGGTGACCAACGATTACTTCATACACCATTTGTTCCATCAGATTCCTGGAGGCTATGTGCACCGTTGGTTTGAAATCAGGGTTTTCCAACTCTCCTAAGTGAGTCCTCTATATCCATCAACCCGGTTAAAGCGTCGAACATTCGCTTTTTGTTCCCTCAATTTCGTAAACAACAGTAGTGATGCGAGAAGGTAGTTAGTAGGACTTCCCTGGTTGAGGCTATATACGCGTGGCCATGTGAGAGCATTTCGAGAGGGAGAGCGGACTCTCCTCACTCTTGACCGTACTAGGGCATTTGGGGACAGTTGAAGTGGATCGGCTAGATGAACGAAACTTCATACTATTCTTTCAACTTCGTTGTATTTACTTTATTCAAACCTAATGTTTTAATAATATTTTTGGATTAGTAAATTCACATTCTTATAAAGGATTCACTACTTAGTAAGTTTCAATTACAATTAGGCACATTCAATTGATCATTATTTTCCATTTGTTTACATGTATTTGATATTTCTTCAAGTAGACCTGTCATGTTCTTGTGTTTATCAGTTGTATAGTAGTTACTGGATATGGGTAATTGTGAATAAAAGAGAGATAGTCCTGGATTCCACTGATAGCTACTATCCATCTCTGCTTATAATGCTTGTAAATTAAGGCAATGTCGAGGCAATACACACAGTATGCATATATGCCAATAAGAGACTGATCACTTATAGTCCTGAACATCAATGGGAAGATTCATGTAAAACAATACCAAGTGAATTAAAGAGATAGTTTGTTTAAATATTACTATATCATAGATTACAATCAAATTGCAAGTGTATTTCACCATAATTCTTTTCCTTTATAAAACATTAAACTATATCCTAAATGGGTTAGATATTTCTTAACATTAGCGGAATAGTTTAAGTCGTTTACATCCAACTACCATGATATAACCGAGATTATAAAGATTTCACTCCCTTATTTAAAGTGTTCGCATGTTTTGTATCCTTTGTTTACCAGGAAATTCCTACTCTACTAAAAGAACAAAAGTGGATACTATTTAATTTAATCAGACTAATGGATACAGAATGTTTATTTAGAGGATTTAGAAACCCTTAATTCTAAACCAATAGTATTAATAAGCTTTAGTATTTTCCATAATTATCGGCAGTTCATCATAGTTGTGTGAGGGTTGGGATACTGCCCGGGTGCCCAGACTGAAGCAGGTGGTTTTCTTAGGGGGCCACACCCCGAGCCTTTGACCTAAAGGTCTAACCCATAAGGCAGTGGAGCATCGTGAGGAGATGCAGTCCCATGGTAGCCGATGACCGAAAATGGGTTCATACGCCATTTGTTCCCGCAGGATACTGGAGCCCATGAGCACTATTGGTTTGGAATCCGGTTAAATCGCCGGACATTCGTTTTTTGTCCTCTCATTTTCGTAAACAACACCCCTGCCACGAGAAGGCAGTGAGTAGGACTTCCTTGGCAGAGACTGTATTCGAGTGGCTGTGTGAGAGCATTTCGAAAGGGAGGGCGGGCCTACCCCACTCTCAGCCATACCAGAGAATTTGGGGGCCAATACTTATGTGTTCAAATAAAATAATAAAATAAAATAAGCTTTAGAGTATGAAACGAATGAGTGGTATACGCATTTAATCTGACCAACAGTTATCATTTTCTCATATTTTCACTACTTTCTTCAGTTTAAATCTCTGAGCAGTATCATATCTCACGTACAAGTAATCATAATTTTCAATGAAAAAAAACAAACAAACAAACAGACAAACATCCTTCAGTCATCTTTCATGAGTTAAATATTAAAAACATAAACAATATCATCCATGGTAAAATGTGTAGGGTATTTAATGTTTTGCATGAATAGTTATTGTTGTTCTTTTGTTCTATCTAAACTGAATGGTTTAATTGTAAATCAATTTATCATTATCATTTCTAGAATATTTTTAATAGTTGAATTCATGAACTGATGTATGCTAGACTACCATCAAAAAACCTTTAAGTACTAGACGGCCATTTGGTCCTACTATGGGACTCCTTAGTAGTGTCTATCTACCATCCCGCACCTAAGGGACTCAAACTCAGCAACTTCGGTCTTGTGCGAGAACACTTCACCTCTAGATCATTGAATTCAACCATTAAAAATTACTACAATCACCATAAAATCCCATTCTGATCATCATTTCAAGAATAATCTTATCATTAATACACTAATTCAAGTAATAATCTTTATGTTTAACTGATCTATCTTGTAGTTGTTACTTTATTCAACATAGTTAGTTGTTTCTTCTCTCCTTATTCATTTTACAAAAAAAATCTACTGTTCTCTTTTTTTTCAGTATGCTAAGAAACTTGCAGCATTTATGGAACAAGAAAAATTAGAAAATCTTAAAGTTTGGACAAGTCATTTTAAGCGTACTATTCAAACTGCTGAACATATTCAATGTTCACAGATATGTTATTGGAAAGCATTGGATGAATTAGATGCAGTAAGTTTCATGTACTAATTTATATAAGATGATGAATCATGTTCGGTTTACAACTGCATATCATCAATCACATTAGATGTCAGTTGGTTCAATTCGTCATATCCCCTTAGCATTGCGAGGTGAAATTGTCAGAGCGAATCCTAGATTGTTAAAGGTAGTAATAAAATTAATGAGAATAGGAGAGATTTGGCATCTAAGATACAATGAGAGAAGAAAATATAGTTTAGTGAAATAATAATAAAAAGTTATGGGAAATTTAAAAACTTAAGACTTAATGAAAGACCAAGAGTGAAAGCACCTGCCCCATCAAGGACGACTTTCAGCCGTCATTTACGGTCTCTAACCATTGGTTAAGATAATCACACGGACCTCAACTAGGTACTCCTCTTACCTACATAACTCAGCTTAACATTCATTGTCTTCACAGACTGATGCTGTAAATTGTTTTGGCAGCCCCTAGATTTCTTCTAATCTTCAGTTAGTTTGTCTCAACAAATATTATATCTAACCTCTGAATTACTAAATCGACGGTCCGAAAATACGACAGTATCAATCTACAGGCAATTCTGATAGAATACTAATAGCTTATGCGACCTGAAAGTCATGGGTTCGATCCCTGTCGAGGTTGCTGTTGGTTACTGCTAACTAGCGCTAAGATCTTAACAACTACACAGTATTTCCGGGTTTTCGGGGCTTGTCTAGCTAAGACCAGCTCATGGCGCGAAACTTTAAATTACGCAACAGTTTAACTATATAACTCTTTAATTTTTTTTTCATGTTATAGTTTCTATGCAGATCAGTTGTAACTTTAATTTCCTGAATGTATTGTGTTATAATCGTTAACATGCTATCGAGCATATCTTTCTCATTCTTTAATTATGGCTTAACATCACTTGATTCACAATTTCTCGCCAAAATACTCTTAATGGAATTCATATTTCAAAATCAGTCACTGATAGTGAACGTATAATTATGATCATAGTAAGAGTTTAAGAGTAACTCAACTCACAATTGCTAACCCTCTAGAGGGACAATGAATGAACTTTCCTGATGAGTTTCATATTAGAATGAAACAGCTATCTTATCGTCTCTCGATTTTTGAATTAATTTTCCAGGTAATATCAGCCTGTGATAAATGTTATCTTCAATAAATTCTAACTTGAAGTTATCAGCAACGTTCTCAACGTTCAATAAGTGTGTTGTATCCATTAATTTCAGTCATTTATCTGTCGACTAATTGGGCCATTGGTCCATATCGGGTTGTCATGACCATAAAAGATTTCACCTCAAATAACTGGAGTTATCCACAACTCAGCTCAACATATCGAATCAAAAACACTTGTATTGTGAACGTTTAGACTTTAAATAAAGTTTTTAATAATTATTTTACTCTCACATTAGGTAAATAAAAGAATTACAGGAAGTACTGGATTCTGCATACTTATTGAACCCTAAAATCATTACGGATAGTTTCGGCCTAAATTGTTATATTTTAGACGTTAATCGACTTCACTTGTTAGATTCATCAATCAGAATTCCGGTGATAATTTTCCTAACCTACGTAAACTTTTCCGTCTATATTCTAGTATCCTAAGCATTGACCAGTGGTGCTTTCCGAAGAACACGATTAAATTTGAGCGGCCACTAACATGCAGTTCTTTCCTATAGATCCATTGATTCGTACAGTTAATTCCGAATAATGGAAGATATCATTCAAACTCATCACTATTATTATTGCAATCACCTATGGATTTATCTAAAACTAACGAACTGGATCACACTATAGTAAATCATAGTTACACATATATAGACCTAAAGTATTAGTGTCAGTCAGTAACAACGTAGAACTTCGTACGTACGTACATCAGTTCGAGTTGTCAAACCACATTAGTACAGAGATGCAGTTGTCGATTCAAATCCCGTAGTGGTAGAGGTAGTAAGAGTATAAGCAGTAATCGGAAACATTAGGGTTTGAAGATGTTATTCAAAGAGTATAATACAGTGAAACAAATTTGGAAAGAGAAAAAATAAAGGGACATGAATAATTCAGAAGATTAGAATTTGGGAGAACACAAAGAGTGAATGCACCTGCGCCATTGCAAACGATTTTGAGCCATGTCATTCAAGGTCTCTAACCATCGTTTGTTATCATCTTGCGGATCCCAACCAGATAGTCTACACCTATCAATATGGCTCAGTCCACTTGTCAGTGACTTCATAGACTTGTGCCAGGTTTTGGTCTGGCCCCACCCTTAGATTTCTTCCAACCTACTCCTACACCATAAAACATCATCACACGTCAGAGCAATGAATCAATCTAAAAGTGAAGTACTCATTTAACAATAATTTTGTAATGATACAACGTATGACAATAGTTATTAAGTTAAATAGTAGCTTACAATAAAACAGAATATAATTAAATAATCGTCTAGTTATATCTTTAGTAATTATGACTAAAAAGGAATTTATCTATTCATAATCTATAAAATAATTTCTAAGGTTACTATTTCATTAGTTGGCATAAGTAATATAAAATAAAATTCCAAAATGTTCTTTAATTATTGGACATTTAACTATGTTTGTATCAAATTAATAGATGATTATTTCTTCAAAAAAGATAACAAGCATCCAAAATATTGATTTAACTTAAATGAATAGAAATAGTTTGTAGTTAAGTCGATTATATGTTTCCATTTTCTTTTTTTGGTCTTGAATACTGTTAGAGGTATGAGGGCGGTAATCACTTCCAGGTTGCCCACATCATAGAGGGGTTCTTCTGGAGGTATGTGGAAAGGAAATTGGATTAGAGGTGGTCTTAGAGACGTGAAAGCGTGACCGCAGTGCCCAAGGGACAACTGCCTGAGGTCGGTCACACACGACCTTTTTATGAGTAATTTTGGTGTTAGCTCCGTACTTGTTGATACCTTATCGCTGGAAATGGATATCCATGGGATAAGGCGAGGTGTGCATTTTCAGGATGACTATCGTAACTAATGCTTGGAGACTCTGGGTGACATGGCTCAGAATCGATCGATCACAATGGCGTTGGTGTATAACACTCTCTGTCTTCCCTTAAACTAAGAGATTAAAATCGCTTCATATCTTTCCTTCTATGAACTAATTCTTTCTTCCTGTATTATATCCTTATATGCAATCTTTCTTTTATATATTACCACAACTGAATTAACTACTTTTATGAATCCGGTGTTCATCTTGTTGTGTTAATGAGGTATGGCAACCTGAACTGATCCATATTTATGCCTGGTCCTACGTTGTAGCTGACTGACTGACTGAGTGATTTTTTGGGAGGGAGAACCATGTTGATGGAGGGGGGGCTGGAATTAATCAGTTTTTTTGGATAGATAATTCAGTATTGGTCCTATCAGTATTAAAAACATAAATGGAATTAATTCAGGAAACATAATATATAATTATATTATTGAAATTCTGTTGATTTTACATAATTTCCATCTAATTATGTATATTTCATGACAATACGAGAATGTTTTGATAACATGGTATATCACTTAATTAACAAATAAATTGAAGTTAGACAATAACGCCTTTGAATGCTGACTCAATGTTCAAAGATGTTGGGTTCAAGTCCTTTCTGTGCAGAATTGTGGATGTACACTACTCAGGACTTCCATGCTAAAACTAGACAGCCATCCAGTACTTCCAAGTTTTCAATGGTTGTCTAGCTTAAATTGACTTATGAATTCAACTATGATTATACTATAATCTCTACAAATCTTAATACAAATAAGTAAATACATAAATAATTAAATAGGTCATCATTTCCAACTATATTTTAAACAGTTGCATGTATGAATTCATTCTATTTTGAAATAATCTACAATCATTTTTAATTACAAACAATTGTGTTGTTGTTTTAATGAATAAAATTGAATTACATACAAAAATAGATAGATTGGACGAATTAATAGACGACACCCAGGCAGTATCACACCCCATAAACAAATCAAGTGACTTGTATGGTACATATGTAATTTGGTGCCCCTTTGTACTTCTATTTATGTGTTCAAATAAAATTAATAAACAATATTTACTTATACAATTGAAAGTAGGAAACTCATGAAATTTCAATTAAGCTTGTGATTTAAACAAAGTCAAATACTGCGCGGCAGTCCGTTCTGTTTTAATTTACGGCAGCGAAACATGACCATTAAGAGTAGAAGACACTCGTAAGCTACTAGTATTTGACCACAGATGCTGGCGTCTGCTGGGATCACCGGGTAAGTAATAGTGATGTTCGACGCAGGGTATTAGGAAATGATGGTAAATCAGTTGATGAGGTTGTGAATCTTCATCGACTGAGATGGTTGGGTCACGTATTACGTATGCCCGAACACCGATTACCACGACGCGCAATGCTGACTAGTGTTGGGGATGGTTGGAAGAAAGTTAGGGGTGGCCAAACCAAAATGTGGCATCAGTCTACAAAGTCACTAACTTCTAGTGTTAGCCATGTTGGTTGATGCAGACTGCTTAGTTGTGCTCCGCGTAACTCTCGTAACCAATGGTTGGAGATTGTGGGTGATATGGCTCAGAATCGATCACAATGGCGTCGGTGTATACAGTCTCTGTCTTCCCTTAAACTAAGAGATTAAAATCGCTTCATATCTTTCTTTCTATGAACTAATTCTTTCTTCCTGCATTATATCCTTATAAGCAATCTTTCTTTTATATATTACCACCTTTGAACTAACTACTTTTATGAATTCGGTGTTCATCTTGTTGTGTTAATGAGGTATGGCAACCTGAACCGATGTATATTTATGCCTTGTCCCACGTTGTAGCTGACTGACTGACTGACTATTAATTGGACAATGTTTTCTTTCTTATATTTTAAGAAGAAATATCAGGAATTAAAGAGCATCATAGAATGAATAAGGTCAAAACAAAAATACCTAACCAAAATTATATAATTTAAGATCTTTCTGGCTTCAGGATTAATGCTGACTTAAAAAAAAACGCATTTTACATTGAAAGTAAATCATTCATTCAATACTTGTGCTTAGCTGTTTTGTCTATATTCCAGTATGCCCATCATTGACCAATGATGCTTTCCGACGAACATGATTAATCTTAAGCGGCCACTAAGATATAATTCTCACCTATTGATCCATTGATTCGTATAGTTAAGTTCGAATAAGACAAGATAACATTCCAACTTCTATCACTAGTATTATCATTATTATTGCAATCACCTATGGATTTATCTAAAACTATAAGGAACTGCCTCACACCATAACATAGTGAATCATAGTTATACATATACAGACTTAAAGTATCACTGAATCAGTCTAGAAGTGAAGTACTCAATTAGCAATAATTTTGTAGATTGTGTGGACAATGAATAGAGTTAAATATGGAGAAACAGTTCAAGTTGGATGAATAGTCAGATCTTTTTTCTTTTTATTGAAGGCACAGTATTATATGCAACGATTCGTCTATTCCCTTATCTTTATAGTTGGAAAAACCTTTCTGAACTAGTTAAATACTTTTAATATCTATTTGATGGTTATTCAATGTAGTATATACTGTTATTGCCGATTTACTTGATAAATGTTCCAGTTCAACAGAATTATTAGGCTTTTGTATGGCTTAAATATTTCTTGGTATAAGTGGAGATCTGATGAGAAGATTCTTCTATCTAAGATGCATTACAATGGATGCAACCTAACGAATAGATACAATTGTGTATGGTTGTCTTTTCCTCAGTTCTAACTGCAGCCCCCAAATGCCCTGGTACAACCGAGAGTGGAAAAAACCAATTCTCCCTCTCAAATGCTCTCACATGGCCACGTACATACAACCACTGCCTTCCTGGTGGCGGGAGTATTGTTAATGTAAGATCTTTCTAGCTCAGGATCAAGGTTGACTACAAAAAAAACCCATTTTACATTGAAAGTAGATTACTAACACAATACTTATGTTCAACTGATCTGATATTTTATTTCCCTGTTCAGATCTAATCTAGAGGTAGTGATATTTTCCTATTTCTCCATCATTAATTTTATCCCAGATTTAATCTTATCGTATTGTTATTGTTATTCTATTCATAATTTATAAGGGAGTTTGTGATGGTATGACCTATGAAGAGATTCATCAGAAATATCCTGACGATTTTGCACGACGTGATAACAATAAATATTATTATCGTTATCCAATGGGTGAGGTAAGTATCAAATCGTTTTTTTCTGTTTTATCTTTTTCTTTCACAAACTTTTTTTATCAGAATGGGTTTTGTGGAGATGGAGGAGAAATCTCACTGGTTGAAATCATGCTCACTAGTGACTGACTTCATGAGATACTTCTGGAGTTCTAGTGAGAAGCCGTTACCAGTGGAGTTCAACCAGGTCTGTTGTGAGATATCAACTCACTGAAGACAATGGTGTACGGTGGCGCAACTTCGTGGATTGGTTGAAGTTAAACATTAAAACCGTTGGATGCCAGCCAGCTCCGTGGTCTAGTTGGTTAAGCACCTGGTGCGAGGCTGATAGATCCTGGGTTCGAATCTCGCGGAGTGCGGGAACGTGGATGCGCACTGATGAGGAGTCCCGTACTAGGACGAAACAGCCGTCCAGTGCTTCCAGGTTTCCAACGGTGGTCTAGCTTCAATTGACTCATGATTTCAACCTGTGAAACTTTTTTCTGTCGGGTCAGTAATTCTTTTTTTGGTTCAGTCTGTCAGATTTGAAAGTTCTTCAAACAGTGGAAACAGTAACCATTCGGTTTAAAAAAACCAGAGCTATTTGTATGAAAGAAATATCTTCAACCGGTTCTCTTACCTTAGCCAACCTTAGTGTCAATTAATCACCAGTAGAGTAATCTTAACTATTGAATGATTCAATTTGTCTAATATATATACAACCTTTCTCAGTCAAATGTGATTGCCTTTGTAATCTTTATCAACATATTGAAATAATAGGATGAAACTGCCGTCTAGTGCTTCCAGATTTTCAGTAGTGGTCTAATATTGATCGGTTCATAATTTCATATCTCTTAGAACAATAATCAACTTCTGTAAGAAATCCTTAATATATTCCAGTCAATTTCCAGATAATAATTAGCAGGTAATAAATTGTGGTAATTCTGTAAAATACTAATTCAAATAAACTACAAGGTGTTAATTACTGTGGTTTAAATAGTTTTTTTTCCTGGTTGGCGTTTGTTTTTTACGGGATGGGGTTGCTGGCTCCCACGCCCAACATTCCTCCTTTACCCGGTCTTGAAACCGGCAATAACCCTAGAAGAGCTACCAGTGAAGTTTTGTTAATTAATAATTATTGTAATTTGTCAAGTTAATTAATAATATGTAAAATATGTATATGTATACGTGGATAAACTGTACCCGTGTCTTCAAAGCATTAATCGAGTGAGTACTACTTAGATCAAGTTGTTGTGTGTGCATCAAGCCCAAATATTTACTTACTAACTTACGCCTGTTGCCCCTCATAGAAGAGCATAAGCCGTCCACCAGTATTCTCCATCAAATTCGATGCATTAGTCAGTCAGTCTGTTACAACGTAGGACCGGGCACATACGTATATCGGTCCAAGTTGCCATACCTCAATAACACAACAAGATGAACACCGAATTCATAAAAGTAGTTACTTCAATGGTGATAATATATAAAAGAAAGATTGTAATAAGCATATAATACAGGAAGAAAGAATTAATTCGTAGAACGAAAGATATGAAGCGATTTTAATCTCTTAGTTTAAGGGAAGACAGAGAGTGTTATACACCGACGCCATTGTGATCGATTCTCAGCCATGTCATTCACAATCTCCAACCATTGGTTACGAGAGTTACGCGGACCACAACCAAGTAGTCTACATCTACCAACATGGCTCACACCAGAAGTTAGTGACTTTGTAGACTGATGCCGCGTTTTGGTTTGACTGCCCCTAAATTTCTTCCAACCATCCCCAATACTAGTCAGCATTGCACGTCGTGGTAATATGTGATCCAGCCATCTCAGTCGATGAAGATTCACAACCTCATCAACTGATTTACCATCATTCTCTAATACCCTGTTGTCTAATCTCACTATTACTTACTCGTTGATCCCAGCATATGCGAGCATTAATTAATAGTCCTATAGATTTTAATTGATTAAACCGATTGATAGTTATGTTACATATATATCAATCCCCACTGGTTACTTTAATGCTTGTTATACTGTTTAACATGGAAGTAAATAAATAAAATTTTGCCTTATCGATATTTTACTACCTAATGTAAGTCACTTCTTCAGAATAGATAAATAACCAAATTAAAACTAACATAAGTTCATATGGTATGGTATTAAGGAGACAATACAAAGTTTTTCTAGTACAATCAAAATTATAATACGTTTGAACATGTCTATGTCTAATTATTATGGTCAAGGTGATTCTATATGAAATAGAACTATGTTTATTTGTTTATATGATGTTGTAATTTTGTAGTATAAAGGAATTGAATTAAAGCTTGAGTATTTGTGTAGATTACGTGAACAATGAATGTGACGGATCAGTGATTTAGTGGTTAAGCGCTCGCGCGCGATACTAATAGGTCCTGGGTTCGAATCTTGTAAGGCGTGGTCGTGGATGTGCACTGCTGTGGAATCCCACAATAGGATGGAACGGCCGTCCAGTGCCTCCAGATTTGCTATGATGGTCTAGCTTCAATCGACTCATGATCTCAACTATTGAAATTACTACAATCTCCACAAAACCCCCTCTGATACCAATTAATAGAGTTAAATGTGAAGAAACAATCCAAGTTGGATAGATAGTCAGAACTTTTTTCCTTCTATTGAAGACACAACATTATATGTAACATTTCGGCTATTGTCCTTTCATTTTAGTTGGAAAAACCTTTCTGAACTAGTTAAATACTTTTAATATCTATTTGATGGTTATTCAATGTAGCATGTACTGTTATTGCCGATTTACTTGATAAATTGTCCAGTTCTACAGAATTATTAGATCTTTTGTGTAGCTTAAAAATTCCTTGGTATAAGTGGAGATCTGATGAGAAGATTCTTCTATCTATGATGCACTACAATGGATGCAACCTAATCGATAGGTACAACTGTATATGGTTGTCTTTTCGTTAATTCAAACTGAAGCATTTTGAAGTGTTCAGTTGTTTTATAGAAAAATTTGATAATGTGTTTTTTCAAGATTCGTTGTAATTCTTTTGTTGTATCGTTGCGTTAACTTAAACCTATGGCGCCTGTCGAAGATATTTCATCAGATTTGTTATGTATAGGTGAATAGTTCCATCTTAATATGTTTCTAGTAATATTTATAGGAAAATGATTAAATCATAAGATGCTCATTATGTTGTCTTGATCCTTCAACTTGTTTTCTTATGAAGTAATGATCTTAGTGTCTCTCTTCTTAATAAATTCATAGCCAGGGAAATTTACGCAGTCGAAATTGAAGTACCGATTTGGATGTGTCGGTTCTCGGTACACATACATACATACATACATACCAAATGTATTTATCAAATACATTCTATATAATCAAATGGTTAACAGAGTAAAACTAAACACAAACTCTGTATTCATATTCAAATCATTTGTCTTTATTGTTTTATAATTCATTATATATATTTTCCTGTCCTTCACTAAAAGCCATTAATGTTATTAGCGAATACAATTATAGTATATAGGCGGAAATAATGTTTTATTCTCCTTTCAGACTATAATTACAGAAAATAATAGATTATTGTAAATCCCCAATTAGAGCTAGTCAATCATTTTATTGAATAGCTTTCCTCCCAATCTGTCTGGTCTTTCAACTATCATTGAATTTGTATTAGTCCATATAAGAAAGTAGTTACCAAATCATATTGACTTGATATTTCAGTTGTATAGTCCGTAAGAAATATTAGGTTTTGTGCTTGTTATCATAGAATAAGATGATGATGATAATGGTTGTACTTGTAATTTCAAAGTCTCTTTTGTTTTGGGGGTCTTGCATTATAGTGGCCTGTAGACGTTTTACAGTTAGGAATGTTGATTTGTGTTTCTACATCTGCCTAACTGAATTGTGTATATAGTTTTAGATTGTTTTGATTCATCGCAATACACTCTAATAAATTGATGAATAGAAGTACAACCTATCAAGGGTTACCAACCACAGATATCATTAGGTTTGTACACTAGCGATGTAGATCATGTTAGGGAATTGAAAATAGCGAGAAATCCTAAACCTGTTGACATTTCAACAAGAAATACCTAGAATCTCTAAGGATCTTTGGTCCTCCTTTGTGGATCTTAACCTCACATTCTATTATCGAGCTATTCTAATGATGAATAATCTTACTGTAGGGTTGAAATATTTACCTGTTATTGATCATTGAGTAGTAACAAGTCAGTTATCGGTATATGTCATATCATGTCTATTTAAATTGTTTTATTAAAGAATTACCACAGCGTATACAAATGAATCAACTAGTAGTGGTAAACTATTTCTAGTCTAAGGTCACATATGGATGATATTGTCTTACTATGTGATGACACGTAGACTTACGGAATTGTATTTAATCAGTTGAAAATTTTTGTTTATATAAATACATCATGTAGTTTGTATCTTTAGTATCCAAAATTACTGTTCTGAGACAAATAACATCTTGTATCTTCACACATATCCTTTATAGTGAACTATTGGAAACAGTTGATAAGTTTATGTATCCGGATTGGTATATGACTAGAATGGCTTTAGTAACATGATAAATGTGATCAATCTATGTATATTGAAAAATAAAATGACTTCTTTCAATCTGGATCATCTTTTAAAGTCTTAGTAATATATTAATTCAGTCACAAATATTAGGCCATACTATAAGTTGATAAGAGTAATTCCGTTTTATGTTTAGAAAATCTAGTTCGTCTAAGCTGAGATTATAAACCAAAATATTTTGTATTCACTTATTGTTGTTTTCGAAAGGACTACTGTAAATTATCAAATCAAAACATTGTGTAAATATACTCTCAAGGTTAGATCATTTATGTCAAAGTCTAGTGTTAATAAGTAAACTAGACTTGGCTTTTTTTTCTGTGGTTATATGTTATGAATATCATCTCATTGGCTTTCAGATTATTGACTATTTCCTGACACTTCGACTGGATGAAAAAAAATTGCCAACGTGATATCCTTCCGATGCGGGATGCGATTCTTCCCCTCGAAATGCAAAATGTTACTTCAGGATAGAGTTGCATCGACACCCGAACTAATGATAGGGAGTGAAATAGTTGAGCATGTCGACCGCTTCACTTATCTTGCTTGGGAGTCTCATCAGCCCTTGTGGTCTGGTGTGTGACAAAATCTCAGGACGGATACAGAAGGCTCGACTAGATTTCTCCAACTTGCGTCATTTATGGCGTAGGCGAGATATCCGTCTACCAACCAAAGGACGTGTTTACTGCGCAGCAGTTCGTTCTGTCCTACTTTATGACAATGAAACATGGCCAGTAAGAGTAGAGGATATTCGTAGGTTACTAGTTTTCGATCATAGGTGTTTTCGAAACATTGGTCGTATATCCTGGGACCACCGGATAAGTAATGCAATTGTTAGGAAACGGGTACTAGGTAAGGATGGCAAACGAATTGAAGTAGTGACACTTCATCAGTTGAGATGTCTGGGACATGTGCTGCGTATGATCAACGACCGACTGCCCCGACGAGCGATATTTTCTGGTGGAGTAGGTTGGAAGAAAGCTAGGGGCGGCCGAAACAAAACATGGTACTAATTCATAAAGCCACAGACAAATGGACTGAGCCATGTTGGTACGTGTAGACTATCTGGTTGGGATCCGCGAGATGATAACAACCGATGGTTAGAGACCTTGAATGACATGGCTCAAAATCGTTTGTAATGGTGTGCTCAGGTGTATCCACTCTTTGTGTTCTCCCAAATTATAATCTTCTGAATTCTTCATGTCCCTTTATTTTTTCTCTTTCCAAATTTGTTTCACTGGATTATACTCTTTGAATAACATCTTCAAACCCTAATGTTTCCGATTACTGCTTATATTCTTACTACCTCTACCACTACGGGATTTGAATCGACAACTGCATCTCTGTGCTAATGTGGTGTGGCAACTCGAACTGTTGTACGTACGTACGAAGTTCTACGTTGTTACTGACTGACTGAGCCTTCCGATGTCTGTTTGTTTCAATATATTGTGTTATAATTGAATAAAATTATTAAAAAAACAATTCCCACATTGATTAGAAAAGTTTGTAGAATAGTTATCGAAATTTTCCCCCAAAGATCATATTTATGTGAGGCTCTTGTTTGGGAACCAGTTATATATATAGTGTATTTAAGAACATTTGCAGTTCGATTACGAAGTGATTATATTCATCTGCAACTAGAGGGAAGAAAACTGGAAACTGAGAGCATAGAATAATATTAGCAAAAGTTACTGTGATAGGTCTGTCGTTAAGCACCTTGGTTGATTTATAACCTAATGACTTAGTTAGATATTATTTAAATTAATGAGATTAACGAGATATAATTTGGTTGCAATATAACTGGAAGAATGGTAGCTTAATAAGTACACTTAGTTCCAGGTAAGAAGTAACAGTCGTTGTAGTAAACAAATAATCTTATTAAACTATCATATATATATACTCAGTTAGATTAAATATTCTTCGAATAACTTGAAAGGAATTCAAAAGTCACAATGTTGTGAACATTTTAAGGCAGTATAATTCTAAATCTTCGTCAAAACGTCTTGGTATTGACTTCAACTTTCATTCCTCTATGCCATGAGTTCGAATCCGGTGCTACATACTTCGATTTTAGCATTGGAATAATGCTACAGTAAGTATCGTACAAATTCAAGTATACCTGAAATCACGGTGCATACTTTACATTTGATTAGATTTGTATTAGTTGAGTTCCGTAAGTCATTTGTTAAATCCCCAAGGTACTAAAATAAATCTTAACTTTTCTTTTGACTTTAATCATCATCATTCTATGCGTAATTCCATTTGCCAAGATTATGTTATGGCAATTTTATCTGTTCAATGTTTAAATTTTCATTATCTTACCGCTCCTCCATAAGGTAATAACTTTATTCCTACAATATTTAATACTATTAACCGTCCAAGTTAGTTGTTTAAAAAATATTGCCTTCCTAATAGAATATTCCTATTTTGATCATTATTGGCTCGGACAATTGATTCTATGCCGTTACCATAAAGATGAGTATCAATATGAACCTCGTTGAAACACTGAATAATTGTAACATTACTAATAAAGATCTGAATTTTAACCAGTTTTCATTGTTGGAACATCTCTGTATTCTACATTGATTGTCTTGATATATATATACATTATGTCATAAGTTTTCTTTAAGAACAGATTAGTTTTGGTTTCCAGGATGGGCATTTTTTTCTCACTAGAGACTGACCAACTGGATATACCTTTGTACTAGTGTTTGGGATAATTCAGATAGCTATTAATGATGATATAAACATTATACCCGTTGAACAAATCAGTAACTATTTGAACTCAATAGCTCAGTGGATAATAAGGCATTTCAACGAAAGATATTGAATTTCCATTACTGATGTAAGCAGTCACGCTGAGATGCAAACATCTAGCTGACATCTCCCTAAGTATAAAGAAGCGCAGCTCAGACAGTCAGTCAGTCAGCTACAACGTAGGACCGGGCACATATGTATATCGGTCCAAGTTGCCATACTTCAATAACACAACAAGATGAACACCAAATTCATAAAAGTAGTTACTTCAATGGTGGTAATATATAAAAGAAAGATTGTAATAAGGATATAATACAGGAAGAAAGAATAATTTCGTAGAACGAAAGATATGAAGCGATTTTAATCTCTTAGTTTAAGGTAAGACAGAGAGTGTTATACACCGACGCCATTGTGATCGATCGATTCTGAGCTATGTCACCCAGAGTCTCCAACCATTGGTTAAGATAGTCATGCGGACCCCAACCAAGTAGTCTGCATCTATTTTTAGCTACAATCTATCTATTCTATAAAACTAAATAATTATCTTATTGTAAATCGAAACTAGCTAACAATATGTCGTTTCATAGCGTTTAACAGTTTAAAAGTGATTTAAAACATAAAATTTGTTAGTAAACATACTTGTTTCTTGAATTGATATTATTACTTATTGTTGATGGTGGTCAGCGTCTTTTAAGCAAAGTCCTTTTTCATAGGATAGGATTGCTGACTTTATCCCTAACCATCCTACTTTATCCGAGCTCGGGATTGACAGAAACTACAGCAGAGCTTCAGGCAGAATGGTGGTTATATTAAATCTATTGTAAAGATTGAAAAGTCTCATTGTTAAAATGCTGTTGTGTTTGTATTGTATTCACCGGACTGAATGATTTCTTTTCGGATGAAGCTTTGATTATCTTTACTAGTGAATATTATTATATTTTTGTTATCATCCTAATTGTTGTCGGTTTGCATTTCTTTATTAAAGTCATATCAAGATTTGGTGACACGTTTAGAGCCAGTAATTATGGAATTAGAACGACAAACATCAGTTTTGGTTATTTGCCATCAGGCTGTAGCACGTTGTTTGCTTGCCTATTTTGAAGATAAAAACAAGGGTGAGTTAGTATAATGTTCAATATGTGTTTATATACGGATGTTTTATTCATTATGGATCGACACTATCGGTTGGGCGAAAGAAGTCATTCATTGAAGACTAGAGAACATTGTACAATTTCTCTGTCATAGTTTTTAACTTCTGAGCATTAATAACCACAAGTCGAGCCTATGATCACGGATGATCATATTTTTATTATAAGCGAATGATCGAGTTGAGTTCGTTTTATTATCACCAACCTGCCTAAACTAACTTAGTTACTGTGGGAGGTATGCAAATTAGAGATCTGTCGGTTCACAGACAATTACTGGCGAGACTATAATTTGTGAACAAATTAATGAAAATAAAAATAGAATATCTTGAGTTATGGCGTGAAGTTCATTCAACCTTTATGGTTAAATAGTATTTTGACATAATAGCTAATTTCAGTTTGTTTGTGTTATATCTTGAAAGTTGATTTTTCTTGATACTACGGCGTACAACAGAGTACTAGAACACCAAAACCCTTCCAAGTTGCAGCAAGAAGACAGAAGACTATTGAAAGGAATATTATTCCAAACAGTGTCAATCATAGTACAAAATTGTCAGGTATTTATAGTTTTTAGTGAGAACGAAATCATCATTACAGTCTTCCAATCCGCATACAGGGGGTTATTAGCATTATCCAATCGGGAAGCTACACGTTGGAATCCTAGAATATTCTTTCGAAAGGTGATTGGATGAGGCGTCTTCGGCTTCTTCTGAGCCTCTTACAGCTTCCTCGAGTTCACCGGTAGTCCGTCATCACAGTTTGGAAAACTCTAACCCTTATTTCTAATTCCTATCACTAATCTATCACTCTCTTTTGACTTTAGTAAGTAAGTAGGTCAATTTTCTCAAAATCAAATTGGCATCACTCTAAAGTCGTCCCATAAATTATAATTTTAATTAATGTATGGTTAATCACTTCAAATAATGTTGAAATAGAAGTGAATCATTCTTTATGTTAGTTATTTATCGAATAAATGAATGAATATTTCTAAAAAAATTTAAGATCGGTTTGAAGGAAACTAGAAGTAATCAAATAATGAACTCATTGACTATTCAACTAAGCTTTTTTCAATGCATAGTGATTGCTTGACTGAGATTTATCAGTATAGGGTTGTAGAGATTATTAAGTTATCGATTGAGATCATGAACCGATTGATGTTAGACCACCATTGAAAATTTGGAAGCATTGGACGGTCGTTTCATCCTTTTATGTGACTCCGCAGAAGTGCGCATCCACGATTCTTCTTGTGTTCGCGCGCGAGACTGAAGGCATCGGGTTCGAATCCTCATAATAGTACGGAACGGCTATCCAGTGCTTGCAGGTCTTCAATGGTGGTCTAACATCAATCGGTTCATGAACTCAATCGATGACTGAGATTTGTTTGATAGCTACGATCAGTGACTATATACCTTGAGTAATATGGCTGGGAATTGATCACAGTAGCACAGATGGACTCACTCTTTATCTTCCTCATAGATCTTCAATATACAATATTCCTTTATATATGATTTTTCGTTTTGTTTTTACGAACTAATTTCATCTTGATGATTTCATCATATTGTCAAGAAATTGTATAGGAACTTGGACTATCTCATATCCATGATAGTTTCAAATAAATTGAGTATTGAGTAGAAAGTTAATAATGAATATATATTTGTTGTTATATCCCAATGAGTAAAAATGGAATTATATTTCTAACGTTTCATGTCTTCTTCAGAGACGAAACGTCAAAAATACAATTTTTCTTTACTCATTGATTATTCACATTTATAATAGGTTAGACTTTGATTATGACTGATCAATAGTCTTAACCATTAAGTCACTTTCAAGATAACTGGGAAACCAATTACAGTTCTGTACAATGGTTGATTTTGTGTGTGGGCAAGTGAATACTGATGGAATAGATTAGTTCTCGAACTTTCCATTTCATAAGTCAAATCTCAATCTGACTGCCTATTATCTATATTTACTCCTGTTACTTTATGTGGAGTATAAGCAACCGATCGGGATTCTCCTTTCCAAGTGTTCTCATGTATTATTCATTGTTTTGATGTCTACCTTCAATTCCGGACGCAATGTGTTCTTTGGTATCAGTCAGTCAGTCAGCTACAACGTAGATATATCGCTTTTGTGTTTATCATAAATAATCAAATAACTATTCCATCTTTATGTATATTGATTACTGTAATAAAAACTGAAACCTGTTCATTGTATTCGAGTTAAAGAAAGTATTTATTGTCACTTATTTACTTTCTCATAAATTCCATCATCTTTTGACAATGGTTTTACATTCTATGTCTATATCTAACTCTTTTCTATGAGTGTATATGTGTATATTCTTGTATCTTTTACATACAAGTGTCTATGTTGATAGATATGTCCATTCTTTTTATATACAGATGAACTACCTTATATTCATGTTCCATTACATACTGTATTCAAATTAACACCGACTGCTTATCGTTGTATAGTTGAACGTGTAAAATTGAATGTACCAGCTGTAGAAACACATAGAATGAAACCAGAGGTTAGTTGAAAATTTATTTATTTACTAAATTCTAGTTTGTTTTATTGTTTCTGTTTACATAGTTCTACTGTTTTAAGGGTCAATCAAGCGATGTTTATTACTCTACATTGATTGCTAAATTTTGTACGGTCAACAGTAGGGAGAGTCAGCTCTCCCTCTTGAAATGCTCTCACATGGCCACGTGCATACAACCATTGACAGGGAAGTCTTACTCACTGGCTTTTCGCGGCGGGGCTGTTGTTTACGAAATTGAGGGGATGAAAAGCGTATGTCCGGTGATTTAATCAGCTTGATGGACACGGAGGATCCACTTACGTAAGATGGAAAACCCTGATTAGTGCACATAATCTCCAGTATCCTGAAGGAACAAATGGAGTACGAACCAGTTGTTAGTCACCGGCTACCATGGGACTGCATCTCCTTACGTTACTCCACTGCGTTGTGGATTAGACCTCTAGGTCAAACGCTCAATGAATGACCCTCTAAGAAAACCTCCTGCTTCCGTTTGGGTTTCTGGACAGTATTCCAGTTCTCACACAAATCGAATGATTTATATAGCGCATATCTATTTAGTGCCTCTTTGTAGCAATGTTTGTTTTTAAATAAACAAAAGGACATTTATATAACCTAGTTAATTACAATTCGCAAATTAATTGAATAATTTGTATTTGAGGACATTCAGATATCATTACTGTAAACCGATCAGAATGACATTGATTAATCGTAAATATAAATATATAAATGACCAGATTGTTCGAAATGCGTATATCATAAATTTTCAGATCAATCCAATTATCTCATTAAACTATGTACATACTATTCTGTTGATTAATAGGGGGGGGGGAAAGATATTGAAAGTGAAATTGATGTAAATTTTTTTCATACTACTTATTTCGAATTATTATTAAGTAGTTTGTCAATCATTATTATGTTATAATTTTATATTCTTATTGTTATATCTGGATGATAATAATGAATGGTAATCTTCTGGGATCCATTTATGGATCTATACTATACGTATATTGTTATTGTATAGTTGTTAAGCAATTAAACTGTTCATACCTCTGTTCCTCTTATTATGGGCTTTATTTTGACCTATGAACTATTATTATACGATTTACCATTCTTGAATTATGCCCTGTCTATCAGTTACTATCTCCTATATTCACAGCCACTTTTGGCTAAATCTTGTACAAATGTTGTTTCCTAATTTATGATACAATGTGGTCTGTTTAGTTGGTCTATATAAACCCAGTATGTTTGAAATACATGATTCATATCAGTGGGTTAGACAGGAAGTAGGACCGGTAAAGACTTTAGACTTCTCGTAGGGATTTTATGTCATTGGTTCGGTCGATAATCCACTGTTCTCTAATTGGCGGTGTCACTACATTATACATTAATAGGACACAGGGTACAAGTTATAACGCTTGTCTTGTAATAATGTCGTTATAATATATCGAATCATTTGTCGATTTTTTTCCACTTGCAATATACTGAATCAGAAAAGAGATTATTGAGATTGTAGATATATATCCAAACCAATGCTATTAAGTAAATAATGATTACCGGTTTACATATTCATTTATTACTTGATCTCATCATTATTGACATGGTGTCTGTCACTGGGTTTGAGAATCCCTTCAAAGACAATATTAATAATTGAGCAGATGTATTAAATGGAATCAGTGGACCAATTAAGTCTATCTCAAATAGTCTAATTAACAAATAAATCACTACATGTTGCTCTATTATAGATTTTAATATGGTTCGTGTGTGTATGTGTGTATGTAGGTCTCATTCTTCGTGTTAAGAGAAGTACACATTGCCAAATTTGAAACAATCTAGTGTGAAATATCTTTTTCTTCTTATTATTATTATTACTACTACTACTAATCTCAGAAACCACATTTTGATTCCTTTGATTCACCTTTAGTATTTTTACGGTTTCGACCTTTGGCACTGGTATATACTGAAGTTTCGAACAATCTGAATATCTAGAATTTATGGTTAATTTCATTTGTATTAGTATATAATTAGATAGGTTTGGCATGATTTAAGAAACAATATTACCAAAATTAAATTGATATTGTCAGTCAGTAACAACGTAGAACTTCGTACATACGAGTTGCCATACCACAACTCGAACTGATATTGGAATCAAATATCTATCTACTGACTGATGAAATTATTTTCATAGACTTTAAAATACAAACTGATCCTAGTTAAACCATCACTGAAAATCTGGAAGCACTGAAACGACATTTCCTTCTGGTGTGGAACTTCTTAACAGTAAAGATCCACGACCTTGCACCTAGGACGCGATATCGCGCACGAGTGATTAACCTCTAGATCATCGAGCTGTCATCCAACGGTTTATATGTCTAACTTCAGTCACTTCACAATATTGCACAATGCTTATCCATTGTATGTAGTAGGTAACTCTCGTACCAGACATGGTTCAATTCCACTGGTCACTAGCATGCATATGATTGTTATCAATACAGGATTTGTGGAGATCATACAGTTTTCATATATTTTAAATGGTGTGCTCTTAAGTGTCTAGCTTATATATATATAAGGTTGAATATAAGAATATGATACAGGAAGAAAGAATTAGTTTGTAGAAAGAGAGGTGTAAACTAATTTTTATCTCACTGTTTAATGAAAGACAATGGATGTATACACCGACGACATTGTGATCGATTCTCAGTCATGTCACCCAAAGTCTCCAATCATTGGTTACGATAGTCATGCAGACCACAACCAAGTAGTCTACATCTACTAACATAGCTTAGACCAAAAGTTAGTGACTGTATGGACTGATATCATATTTTGATTTGACCGCTTCTAACTTTCTTCCAACCGTCTCCAACACTAGTCAGCATTACATGTTGTGATAATCGAAACACATAGCCTTACCATCTGAGTTGATGAAGATTCACAAACTCATCAACTGATTTGTCGTTTCATACAAATAGTTCCCTTTATTATTTTAAAGAGAGCATGAACAAAGGTTGGTGCAGAATAATACATGAATTCATTTTATTTCGTTAGGTTCTCATCAGCTGCTTACAACCTAAATTATTTGAAATTCAACGTTATTACAGATATTGACATACTTATACAACAGAGGGTGATGAAGGATAAATATATGTAACATGATGTAGCAAAGATTTCGTTAGAGTTAATGAGGTCATAAAATTTTTTGTTTCGAATATATAGAGTTGGAGAGGGAAGGTTCTAGAACATTGAAATAATGATTAGAAATCATGGAATTAAAACACATTAGACGATTATGTAATGAAATCACTGAAAATAGATTAATGATGTAATTATAAAATTCAGAAAGAGTTGGAATGGCGTAAGAAATAAAAAATGGGGGGGGAAGGGGTAATGTTACCAGGGCAAAAAAAGATTTATTACTGTTTCTTTTTCTATACAAAGATCTGGTTTTAAACGTTTGAATTTGATTGTTTGTTGATCACCTTGAACGATTTCAATATATCGACTTCGTGTCCTGTGTCAAGGAGATGTCTTGTGATAGCGCTGCTAAATGCTTTTAGTCCATTTGATCTCAAACACTTCGAAATATGTTCTTTGAATCGAATGTAGTCTCTCCTTTCTATTCTACCAATGTAACTGCTTTGGCAGATACATGTAAATTTGCATACACACAGTTGGTGGTGTGGTGTGAGCTACTTATATTCATATAAGTAGTATATAACGTGCGTTAAAAGAACGTAATGTCCGGCAGCAGATGGCGAAGATCAAGAAAGGAAGAGCAAGAGCACAATGGAATTGTAAGAAAACGCATGTACAATGGAATGGGAGACAATGGATTAGTGTTTGCAACGGGAACAGTACAGTTTGATATGATGGAATGATATTTTGCAAATTGACGATTGACATTATGGTATTCACATTTTATTGAGATAGTCTGTAATTTTTGTGCTAAATACAATCGATTGTTCCCACTCGTGTTCTTGTTCACTACAGTGGTAACATGAAAGGGATATCTGTCGATCTTTGATTGTGTCAAAGAACATGTTGTTTTAGATAGGACAATCAATTTTGGCTGCAGGATATGTTTTTGTCCTTGTGTATCTATTACATTAGTTCATTTATGATACACTGAATTATATACTACTTATTTTATTTTTTTTTAATTTGTTTTTTTATTTTTTTAAAAGAACACTAAAACACCACATTCTTCATTTGAAGCAATGAAAACTGTTCCAGCTGAATATTAATTTTTATGATCAATCAAAAGATCTCTCTCTCTAGAAGATGATTGATTTGTCTATTTTTGTAAATATAAACAAACAAATAAACAAACAAATTACTTATAAATGTCCAATATTGAATAATGTGTAGTAAGTGTTTATCACATTTTGTCTTTTATTTATTTATTTATTGCCGTTTTTTTCCTTGTTTATTGTTCTATTCTGTTTCCATGTTCAATGCCTTATTGTTTACCTACCCAATGTACTGTTGTCGTTGTTGTTGTTGTTGTTTGTCTTTTTTAATCTTATGGAATGAATCCAATTTCATGAAAACAACTTAATGTAGTATATATTTTGTATGAGACTCTCATTTATGGGATAACCTTTAAGTCACGCTAAAATGACTATAAATGTAGTTCATCTCACTTATTTTACGACTAAATTGAAGATTATAAATCATGGTTAAAGAATGACACATATAATTTAATAGTTGATAGTTAAAGGTTATGAATTAGATTTTGGGGTTTTATCACAAAATGTGATATTGTATTGAATAGAACACGAGTGAGGACAATCGAATGAATTTAGTATACAAATGACAGAGTTACTTGGTTAAAAATAGAAAAAACTAAATACTACATCGTTAATTTGCAAAATATCATTCCATCATATCAAACTGGACTGTTGCTATTGCAATCATCATCAATCCATTGTCTCACATTTCATGATTTATGCGTTTTCATACAAATTGCATTGCGTTCCCTCTCTTCTTTTGTTGATCTTTCCCCATTTTCTGCTGCCCAGACATTACGTTCTTGAACTTGCGTCATATACTACTTATATCAATATAAGTAGCACACACCACAATATCAGTTATGATGTTAACATTCTATTTAGCTAAATGGTTGTGTGAATGTCACGGCAAAAATCCAAGATCTGTTATCTTATACCATGATTGATTTGTCCATCATATATAATCTTGCCGGTAAATTTTTTGTGTTATTGTTTAGTTTTATTTAGTTAATTCATTTAATGATATAAAGGTTTCATTGTAATTAAACTATTGAATTTCATAAAACATTTTGCATTACTATTAAATATCTGGTTTAATTATTAAAAGATCAGTTATAAACAATAATGATTATATAATAAATGATACATGTATGTATAGGTGTTATGTGTGTGTGTGCGTGTGCGTGTGCGTGTGCGTGTTCGTGTATGTAGTTGTTATGTTCAGTTGGCATTTTATGTTATTCTACGTCAGACAATGTCTTCATTTATCCTCGTTTTTTCTTGTTTTGTTTTGTTTTGTTTTTGTTTAATCCTTATTTCATTTGCTTTAATCACTCAACAGTTTAGTGTTCTGTTTGTACAGTAACATACTTTCCGATTACTTCTTTTTTTCGGGGGGGGGGTATTAGTGTTTTCCTTTCTCCAGTTTAGTCATAGTTTGAAACTCCGAAAAAAAAATAATGTATTACTATTATAATTATTGCCTTTATTCAATGTTATATTTTTGGTACAGTATTAGAATTCTCAACACAACGTATTTCAACAAGTCTCCATTTCTTACTTCCTAATTGATCCTGACGATCAATATTTGAGTGATTGTCAGTTAGATGTCGGCAGTTCGGGAATCGACATTTGAATAATGTATATTCTTTTCGATGCATATCACCAGCAACTATGATGTCTCTGATTGGGTTTTCTTGTAACTTGTACAACGAGATGGTGTAAACTTTTCATAAACGCAAATGCGATGAATAGACATAATGATGAGATGGTGGTTGGAGGTAGTCGACAGGAAACCCTGGACCCGGGTTTCGTGCTACTTGGCACTCGTTAGCAAGGTGTACCTGTAACCTTGAGGAAACTGGTGCTCCCTGGTGGATTCAACCCCGTGTCACCCATCTTAACAGTCAGAGACGTTACCACTAAGCTATCCGAGCCGCGACCGACCTCCTGTAGGACTGAGATGTAACCACAATTGGTTGGTCACTGGGTGTTGATCAATTTTATGTGTGTCAAGTCCTTAATAGTGCAGATTGAATGCTATCGACCATGTTGCAATGTGGCCACCAGTCTAGATGACTCGACACTGCGTGCACTATTGAAAGATTAGATGGTGGTTGGAGGTAGTCGACAGGAAACAAACAATCAATAAAACAGATAACTTACTGAAATATCTAGATAGCAGGAACAGGTAGTTCAGATATTCAAACAGGCCACCTTAGATTGTATGGATAGAATCAGTATAAACTATTTTAATGTGTTAATTCAAAGTTTTATAAGGTGATTAAATATTTTCTTTTTCAACCAACTCATAAACTTACACTTTAATAAATGTCATTTGATTGTAGTATAAAGAATTGAATATGATTACGTAATAATAAGAAGAAGAACAAGAACTGCCTCAGGTTATATGCTTGATGATGGTAACAATCATGATTTCACAAGCATTTAGTATACATTCACTTGGTATTGTTTTACTTGAATCTTCCCATTGATGTTTTAGGACTGAAATTGATCAGTCTCTTATTGGCATATGTGCATACTGTCCGTATGCCTCGATATTGCCTTGATTTACAAACATTATAAGCAAAGATGGTTAGTGGCTAGCAGTGGAATCCAGGACGCGCGTTTCGTCCTGTTTGGGGCTCGTCAGCTGGAGGTACCTGCATCACAGAGTTGATGTTCACTCTGGGACTCGAACTCAGTACCATTCGGTTCAAGGGCATCGCGTTATCCACGAGCCCCAAACAGGACGAAACGCGCGTCTTGGATTCCACTGCTAGCCACTATCCATCTTTTCTTATAATTTAGTATACAGTTTGATAATCAATGATTGAGAATTTTGAATAGACCATTGAATACAAACTATACCTAACCCAAAAACTCGGTCTACATGTTTTCATATCACTATTTATGAAAACAATTGAAAATATTACAGATATAGTTAAATATCATTGTAAACTTTTCATAAACGTACCTAAATAGGTTATAAGACTGATAGTGATAATCATGTGTTAAAACAAAAAGAAAAAAGAAAAAAAATAACTTGTTGAAACATCTAGATGACAGGAATAGGTAGCTCAGATATTCAAGTAGGCCTCTAATCAGAATCTTAATGTACAGATATTGGATTATTATTACTGTTATTATTATTGTGCCCCCAAATGCCCTGGTATGGCCGAGAGTGGGGTGGACCCGCCATCCCTCTTGAAATGCTCTCACATGGCCACGTGCATACAACCACTGACAGGGGAGTCTTACTCACTGACTTCTCGTGGCATTACTGTTGTTTACGAAATCGAGAGGACGAAAAGCGAATGTCCGGCGCTTTAACCGGATCCCAAACCAATGGTGCACATGGGCTCCAGTATCCTGAAGGAACAAATGGCGTATGAACCAATCGTTGGTCACCGGCTACCATGGGAATGCATCTCCTGACGTTGCTCCACTGCCTTGTGTGTCAGACCTTTAGGTCCAAGGCTCGAGGTGTGGCCTCCTTAGATAGCCACCTGCTTTGATCTGAGCACCCGGGCAGTATCACAGCCCACACAAATATAATGATAATGAAAATGTGTGGCGCATACATATTTGGTGCCCACTTGAACCAATATTTATGTGTTCAAATAAAAATAAATAAATAAAACTTATGCCAATCTGGGCCATCATTGGCGCCTTCGTGATGTTAGTCTGGCTGTTAAAGGTCGGATCTACAACGCGTCGGTAAGAGCAGTTTTGCTCTATGCTTGTGAAACCTGACCTCATCGAGTTGAGGATGTTAGACGACCCCCTGTGTTTGATCATCGTTGTCTCTGAACGATTTCTGACATCTAGTGGCAACTCCATGTTAGTAATGCAGAGGTTCTGTATCGTGTGTTTGAGCACAATTGGTGTCACCATCTTGAGACACCGACTTCGGTGTCTTGGACATGTTCTACGAATGTCTCCACGTCGTGCACTATTTGGCGACGCTGGAATAAGTCAGAAAAAACAGAGGTGTTGTCAGTGTTTGACATGGTGTCGTACAGGACTGACTTCTATCGGTCCTTCACTTCTTCTTGGTTGGGGTCTTAGAGATGGTGCTACACAGTGGCTATAGACATTATCAGATATGGTTCACAATGGAAACCAGTGGCGATTCTGCTGTAACCTTCTTTCACTTTCTTCATAAAAAGTGGTTGCTTCTTCCTTAACTGAAAGATTTCTTCTGATTGTACCTTTCCGTTTCCCTCATTATTACTATTATTATTACACCACCTTACACTAATCTGTTCGTCATTGTTCTTTTTTTCTTACACTCCTTACCTTCTTTTCTTCTCTTTAAATGCTCATTGTTTTGTGTGGCGCCTATATAGTTGGTGCCCTCTTGTACCAATATTTATGTGTTCAAATAAATAAATAAAATATTATTATTATAAAAACAACCAATCTCCAATTTTGTTTTTATAATTCAAATGAATATTTTCGCTGTAAACATGAAACAAAATTGATCACTATATAATATCAGGTTTTCCCATAATAAGTATATTGTAACTAATACAGCGTAGAAATGTTTATTTCCAATGATTATGCTGATTTATTGTAGAAACTAAAGTGAATTAACTCACAATAGCAAATGTGAATATTCAAGTCGAACTAATTGAAAGTAATCACTACAAAGATCTCGTTAACTGATATTTATCAACACTATATCTGTATAGTGCTGAAGAAATTGATACTCTGTGTAGAACTTGGACGTACGTACTCAGTGGCATAATTAACAAAATGTTATTATTGAGCTATTCAGGTTATTATTGTTGTGACTTTATGATCCGCTAGTTATCACTTTATCTATTCGCCAATCAAAATATGACTTATTCGCTCTTATACTAAACTAAACTAATGACGTCCGATCGGTCTAATTAGCCTAGCGTCCTATTGGTCAGTTGCTCGCCTAGTCCGTCCAGCTGAGTCCAGAATGCCAAAAACAGCCTCCACTATGCGAATTATTTATTTCAGACATACTGAGTTTATATACCAAACAAACAGACTGTGACGCAGCATAAAATAGGCAATAACGTTCATACACAGTAACGCCAAAATGTGGCTATGAACGTGGGAGGCAGTAGTCAATAAACTCAACATAGCTTAAGAACAGTCAATCGTACAATAATAATCTATAGGTCAAAATAAAGCTTATAACAAGGAGAATATAGATATACATAATCTAGTTACTGAATATTTACAATATAAGAATATATAAATAATATTGGTACATGAATAGGTCTCAGACGTTACTCGTAATTTAATCTTCACTAGGATATAATAACTACCGAATATCATTAATAAAATGGTATAAACGATGTTGAATGACTTAAACTAGAAGTCACTTTGCAAGTTGATTGATAGAATATTATCAGAATTAAACATGCATGACATTAGTTACTATTTGTACGACCACTAATATCCCATGACATTAATCAATATTAATTATATATTTTTATTTGATATAAAAATACTGGTATACAGCTGGACACTAAAATAAATATACATCACATGAATCAAATAAGAGACATAGGAGTATAATAAACAAAAACATCGTTAATCAACGAGAACAATATGTAGCGGAAATAGTTTATAAGCAAAGATGGACAGTGGAATCCAGGACGCGCGTTTCGTCCCGTTTGGGATTCGTCAGCTGGATGTGCTTGCATCTCAGAGTTGATGCTCACCCTGGGACTCGAACTCAGTACCGTTCGCTTCAAACGCCATCGCGTTATCCACTTAGCTACTGAATCCTGATAGCCATACGCACAGTATGCACATATGCCAATAAGAGACTGATTAATTTCAGTCCTAAAACATCAATGGGAAGATTCAAGTAAAACAATATCAAGTGAATTAAACTTCACTCCATTGCACAAGCAAGTGGCTATCAGGACTCAGTAGCTAAGTGGATAACGCGATGGCGTTTGAAGCGAACGGTACTGAGTTCCAGTCCCAGAGTGAACATCAACTCTGAGATGCAAGTACATCCAGCTGACGAGTCCCAAACAGGAAGAAACGCGCATCGTGGATTCCACTGCTAACCACTATCCATGTTTGCTTATAATGCTTGTAGATTAAGGTAATATCGAGGCATACGCACAATATGCACATATGCCAATAAGAGACTGATCAATTTCAGTCCTAAAACATCAATGGGGAGATTCAAGTAAAACAATATCAAGGAAATAGTTTAGTTAAAATATAAGGTCGATTTACTGAAGAATTGTCACAGACTTTTGTTACATCTGAAACCATGTCGATGATTCCAACTACACAGATATGTAGAATATATATAGTGTTACAGGAGAACTGGTAATACTTTCCTGGTTAAAAACTGTACAATTGTCAGCTTATTGAATGTTTAGTTGAATGATCGTGTATATTTAGAGCCTATAATAAGATGAAGTTGATCAATCATCTTCCTTAATATTGGGCTACCGTTTCGAAAGTTCGAGAGAAATCCTAGCTAATGAATAGTTTACAATTTGCAATGTGTATTGTAGTAAACACTGAGAGC